CGTGTTCGGAACGGCCATCACCTTGAAAGCGTTGTACGCGGTGATGAACATGATTCGACGTCATCGAGCGTTTCGAGCGATGGAGCACTCACGAAATCGATCCCGCTATGGTCAGGGGAATTCGGTCGATGTTGAGCGCGGTGGTGGTGGTGGCAGTGGCGCTGGTGCGCCGGCAACAAGTCGTGTCAGTCTCGATGGTTACGATGATGGAACCGATTGGGACGCTAGTGATGGTATGGCCGATGCGGACGATCGTGGTAGTCTGATCAATTCTCGATTTATGCTCAAACCATACAGGAAATCATTGGTCCCCGGTCCTAGAATAGCCGAATCCATGGACCCGGGTAATCATTTACAACGGCCATCCTTTGCACCTTTATGTCGTACGGATTGGAAGAATTGCAATGCGCGCACTTATGGACACACGTTACCCTGTGTGGCCGTGTCTGTGGAACCGGAAGAGAGCAGGCGAAGTAGTGAGGAACAATCGTGGTGGACTCGATTGCGTCAGTGGCTTCGTACAAAACATATTGGTCTAACAGCTAGACAACAGTTGACCATGAAGTTGTATTGTGAACAATTCACCACCGTATCGTATCCTGCTGGAAAGATTATGGTAAGTTCCCATTTGACAACTTACCAGTGTAAAGTGGAGTGCGGTGGATGGTGAAATACATTTTTTGGGGTTGTCTTTCACCGTTAGAGTTGGGGGGCGGGGGGGGGGAGTGGATGATGAATTAAAAACGAGTTAGAAAATACTGTTTACCAGGATGATTTTTACATAATTTATCAATCGAGGGTTATAAGAGAGACTTGCACTAGAGATTTAGTAATTATGAACGCAGATTCATTTACAATGAATAATCAATGAATCACCTGATAACATTTTCCAGGAAACATACAAACATTTGGATGGCTGCACATTGGGTGCTACTCACATGGGTACACGGAACGTTAACTAAGCCCCAAGATATTCATTTTTAGCCACTGCAACGATTTCGATCCAATCTGACCGGGAAAAATCCATTGCGATTATTTTGCATTGGTTTTTATGAGTAGGATGCGTCTTAGCCGAGTTTCAGCTTTTCTACGCCAGGTTCAATCACCCGGGGTTGGATTCTAGGAAAATTGTGGAAGATGTTCATTTTCAAATAAGTTAAAACCCACTGAAAATTGTCCCCCTGGAGTCGAATGTGCTGCAGTTTG